TGACCCAGTATCATATTTATTCAGGATAAATTACATACAGACCTTATAGGGATCACAACAGACACCAGCTCTTTGGATACTGCATATATTTACATTCAAGGCTTTTTCTTTCACCCACTCAATACTCCCTGTATTAGACGCTCTATAGTTTACTGTACAGTGAGCCGTTTGGCATTGCTAGCAGCTACTTTTTTCTTTCCATTTTGGGAATTTTGGAGGATGAGAGCACTATACACATTAGGCAGAGTAGGCTCTCATCAAGTCGAAACATGTCTTCAAACTTCTAATTAAAGCTCACCGGTTTAAATTCATTAACGCTATTCTGAAGAGTTGCTGCGCAGTTGGTTGCTTCGCTACCACGTCCTAAATAAAGATGTTCGGCTTTGTAGATCAGACCAGCATCCCTTTTTTTTTTTTTAAGGGAAGAAATGCCCCGTCACATTGTTGAATGTGTAAAAATGTTGTGCAACAGGTCTCAGTGTGAGACCAAAATGTCTGTTTTTTTGCTGTAAATGTTCCAATGCTGCTTCACCAGCCTCCTCTTTGGATCCATTACCATTCAGTAAACGACACATTTCTGCTTCGATGGTCATAGATCATAGACGTGCCGAAATCAGTCAAGAGGCTCTCAGCTTGATTATACGATGATGATAATTCTAACGGTAAAGTCGGGGCGACAGCGGAGGATATTGGACACCCAAAGAGCGCCTCAATGTGAATAATGTCTCATCTTTGACCCGTCTTCTGTCCCACAGCGCCGCACTTGAATCCATTTTCCTCCCGAGTAAAACGTAAGCGGCGTCGGGCACAAACGCCTGAAACCAGCCACAGAGAGCAGGAGAACTGCGCCGCGCCAGAGATGAGAGTATAAACCTGTTATTCATGACACTTCTTCACACTTTCCCTCCTGTGCAGGAAATTAATGCGCGGCAAGCTGTCGGCCCTGGCTCGGAGATGGCTTGGGCCGACAACGCCAACGCCCAGATTAAGGAGGTAAAGTCCAAATTCATTACTTTTAGCCGCCGTCGCAAAGGCCGTGCGATTACTTTCTGCAGTAAAATGCAACTCAACTCATTAAGATCATTTAATTGGACCGCTAAAAAGTGGGTGCGCTTAGCTCCCTTATTGCAAAGAGTTGCAGATTGCAGACGGATGTGATATTTTGTTTTACGGAAATAAATATATAATTGAATTTTGACATTAACACCACCAAATTTAGTTTTTCTTCTTTTTTTCATATATGGTTAAATAGGTGGACAATATGATCAAGGTTGTGAACTCGAAGGGTCAGAAAGGCAATTTCGACTTGAGTGTTTTTTCACATTTCGTGTATTATTACGTTCGGCTCTTTCATCCAAGGATAAAGACACAATGAGCTCCAGAGAAAGAGGCAAGGTCTCCCGGACGATATTCAGGTCTTTCACATTTCTGGGTCAGAGGTTTCATCCGACTCCTTTCTCTCCCTCTCTGAAAGGTAACCTTTTCCAATTTCTCCCCCCCCCCTTTGGATCCATACCACTCTAAATGGAAAACCTCTTAGCCTCCCACGACACAGTGAGCTGTACGGCAAACTGTTGTCATCGCGCCAAGTTCTGCTCACACCATCAAAAAATAATAATTCATGGCCTCCAGGCTTTTGTAGCTCACATGGCTTCCTTAACAAAAGCGCTCTGCGTGCGGAGCTGAAAATACCTACAAATGCTCCGAGGTCGGAAAATGGGAAACATTACTTAAGTGCAGCGACGTCCACAGCAACACATGGATTTACTGTACAACACAGGGTATTTCTTTATAATTCCCTCAGGCTGGTTGGACACGGGGTTCCTGCTGCTCTGTGAAACCCTGTATCTTCTTTTTAGGTCCCAAATGCAACAACCCCTGCCTTTACATGAAAGCAGTATCTCATATCATAGCTTTAACCTCCTGGTCAGGACTATGTAATGGAAAAGAAGCCAGTGTTCCCTATGATTTCTATGTTTTTAACAAGGGAGAGAAAGATGAGAGGATGAAGAGAAACGTACCGGATGTGAGGATAGGCCATTAAGTGTACATGGTAGAGGGAAAGAAGATAAATGAGCTGTCTGTGGTGCTCTGTTGAGAGGGGGGGGGGGTTACAACAGGGAAGTCTTGTCCGTTTCCTCGACGCTCCACTGTTGACTTCCATTACTGAACCCTGCGGTGGAAGGCGGCTGAGACAAATGGCGTAGGAATCTGCGGGGTAATGGCATACATTACGCGGTACGGTGCACCTGCAGGACGGAGGGAACCCATTGCTGGCTGGGGTTACTGATGACTCCACAACAGTGTGGGGCTCCTGCAGCGTTACAGGTGTTGAATACCTGAGTAACATCTGAAACCTAAACCTAAACATCAACACATACGGTTTTGAAATTCCTCACACCCGGTACAGTTTATCAGAGCATCATTTAACCGATATCCATTACAACTATACACAGCCATCATTAATATTCAGGGACCGTGGCGTGTTTCACTGTGTAAAATATTTAAAGCGCCTCGTGGGCTTCTGCAGCGCCTGGGAAAAAAAACAAATGTGCTTCTACTTTTACACAAGATCCTCGTCTCTGAAGGATAGCTTGAAAAGAAAATATTTTCTCAGTTTTTAACTTCCCTCCCGATGGCTTCCCCCCCCCCTGGAGGACTTTGATTGAAGTATTCTCCGTAGAAGCTGACTTGTCATTGTTTATTTTATTGTTCATCTGCCCTTTTTCCATGTTTTACTGCTGAATACTTTCAGTCCAGCCCTCCTCTGCCTAAGATGTGAAAGCGTTTCAAACTTGGAGCGACCGCTCCGGAGGCAGATACCCTTCATCATCCAGCAGATTTTATACCAAAAACCTATTTCCTTTTATTGAAGTAATCACACATGCTCTCACACACACATCAACACATAATCATGTTTTTTTCCCAACGTTTATTCTTTGTTAAATAGTGGACATTTGGCATGAAAAACACCGCACTTGTAGCCAGCAACCATGACCCGAACAAGACCGCGTCAGTATAACGACATCACGCTGGAGATACAGTGAAAGCAAAACATCACAAACATCAACAACCTCACACCGAAGACCTCTCACAGACGCGCGGTCCCGTTTGACGGACAAGTTACACATTTCATAACGCAGCACGAGCAGGCACCAGATGTGGCAAAATGTCCAAAAAAGAAAGAATTCAGCAGCCTCTGGAGACCGGTTCGGTAAACATGTAGCGCACGTGGACACACGAACGGACGGACCTCGAACAATAAATATAAGATTTCATCACCATCGTCTCTGCGCCCTGCTCCTCACCTCGGCATTTCTCAAGTTGTTGACTCGTTCTGCTTCCACGTGGACACCCAAGGCGCTCCGCAAGAAGGTGTGAAGAAGCGAGACGTTTGAGATGGAAGCGGAGAAAAGAAAGCTGCTGTACCAAAGACACGTCTTCTTTTCTTCCCCTTATCATAAGGCTGAGTAAAACGTGAACACGGAAAGAAATCGGACGTGACCATTCGGACCCGCAGGTCCAAACGCAAAATATTTCATTCTGTGCCCGAGGCGAAACTACAAAAAAAAATAAAATATATATATATATATCGCTCTTTGCAATTCTGACTTATTCTGCAGAAGAGCAAAGTTAAAAATCCAGCAGAGGCACATTTTACCCGCAGCCGCTCCCCCCAGGAAGCCATTATAAATAATTGCAAAACAACTTCTCGTAATTTACTTATGAGCGTTTTGTCAGTGTTTGCTTGCCGGCTGGAAAATCTCTTAACTCCCAGCAGTCAAATATTCAGCAACTAAGAAAAGCAACTTTTTTTTCTTCACTGAGGATTTTGTAAACTCAAGGTGAGCACAAACGACATTCCCCATGAATCATCACATATACGAAGAGGTGCCCATCTCACTGCCAGAGAAGTGACATTTCTGAAATATGACACTGCAGTTTATATTTTGTTCCGTCCCTTTCTTTGCCGTCCCGAGACGGTCAAACATTGTGTGCAGAACTAAAGAGGTTTTGTTGTGTTTTCTTTTTCCTCCCCGTGTGCCGCCTGCAGCGCCTAATGGGATTCTTGTTGAGGGAGGTAGAGATAAGAGAGAAACCGACTGTGCGCGCCGTCCCATGCCTCCGTCTCATTTCACTTTCAATTTGCATCAGGCATTGTTCTGGGGAAAGGGTACGAATTAGATCTCTCACCCCTGCAGGGGCATTTTTACCTCGCTTTTTCAAGGAGCCTGTAAACTTTGTTATGGTAAAAATAAATTATTTCGGTAGCCGGAAAATAGCCTTTTTGTTTCAGGAGATATTCACTGATAGTAGGGACGTGCTCCATAAAGGAATAATTATCCCAGATATTATGGAAAAACACGATTATTCGCTTTTTTGCTGAGAATTGGACGAAAATATTGAAGTTACAGCCAGCACAGCGTATCCTCACACAACAGTTCGTATGATATCTTACGGAAAGTTATTTTGTTCTTTTTCGTGCGTTTTCCAACAAATGTCAAGCGATCACAAGCATCCTCGGTTTTTAGGCAACAAAACTGCTTGGTTAGGTTGAGGAAAAGATCGTGGTTTGGGTTAACAAAAAGTTACGGAAGTTACGTGAGAAATCGGTCAATGTTGGCCTCTGGTTTCACACCGGACACGAACAGCTGTCTCCTGGGTGAAAGTCCTGTTTTTAGACCCATCTGTCCACCCATACCAACACCCTATATGGCCTTTGTTGCTCTCCGTACTCTGTCACCGAGCGCACAATTACGTGGATAACATTAAAATTGATTATGTGGGTTATATACACATTAAAAAGCTGTACTACTACTTTTTGTAGCATAGCTTCTTGACTGTTAAAATATATGTTTTTAAAAATCTGCCTACACCTCTGTACAAACCATAACTTGTCATTGGTTTTTGAGGATTTGGTTTAAAGACTACAATCATCTCACACTTAAAAATGAAACATGAGCAAATCCTGCAGTGAGGAAAATAAATTGCACTTGTAGCAGGTACGAAGTGTGCTGAGTAAAACTAGCTTAAAAGTACAAGAATCTGAAAGTAGCAGCTCTAAGACTGGGAGGTTAGCTCATTTTAATAATGCATACCTGAACTTGCTGGCCTGCTGAGGTGAATAGATTAACTGATGTCAAATTCAATAACAACAGTTCATTTTTGAGAGCAAATATTTGCCTCTCTCGGAGCCTTTTACCATAACAATTAGTGAGCGAGGTTGGCTGTAAGTCTTTACCTGTCCATTCATAATGCGAATGAGCGGTGGTTTATTTTGAGAAGTTGTAAATCTACAGGCCACAAAATAATACCAAAGCCAGCTTTAAGCGGCTTATCTTCATTATTCCTACTCAGCTATGGTCATTTAACATACTTAACAGTTTGCAATTCAAAAACCTATAGGCTCATAATGTAACAAAACATGTAAATGAATCCAAATTTAACTGGAGGGGAAAGTGTGCACAGACCGGGGAAATAAATCGGTTCTAAATCCGCCAGGTTCTCCGGTGCGCCAAGCGCCCGCAAAGATATGGAAATCACTCACTGTTCTGCCTTAATTACAAAAGCATACACGGAGTGAAGGCCGCCAGACGAGGTTCACAAGACGAGGTTTACAAGCGAGGCTCTGCCAATTGTCAGTCTGCGATCCAAACTCCCCGCCACCACTTGTAAACCTCTCGCGGACTGCGCTTGTGCCTGCAAATCTCAGCTGTCACCCACACACTATTGCCATTCATGTATTCATACGCCTCTGTGCTGAAAAAGGAGGGGGGGGGGAGTGCTAGGCGATGCCAGGCCATGAAAAAGAGCAGCAAACTTGAAAGCGATGGGAAATGAAAGGACTTAGCTGTCGACATATCACCGCATGTTGGACAAAAGCATTGCATCACTCTGCTTAACACGCGTCCAGATATTTTTGTGCTGTGGAGGCCAACTTTTTAAATTAGTCACTGCAACGATAGCCTGTCCATATTTCAAAATCAAATTGCCTGAGTTCATGAATGAAGTCCTGAATAATTTCCACGGGAATTCAGAATTGTCCTTTCATCAAAATACTATCTACTACTTGCTACTAGCTCATGAATCTACCAAGTCTGCCTTAACATGAATGTTTATGTATGATGCAGTGAACATTTAAAGGGGATTTGGGTATTTTTCAAGCTTGGTCTCATTCTCTTATCTAATTGGCCATGCTAACTTTTCACTTTCCACCTTTTGTTACAAAGTTTCAAGAAATACGACTTAAAGTTTTTAGTATAAATTTAAATTTGATAATTCAAACGCTTGCCTCCGAGCCAATGTTATCACATGAAGTAACCCCTGGGATTAGCTACGGTAGCTCGCTACTTCTGGGGCAACTTGGTAGCTAACGAAACAGCTACCTGGTTATCTTCACACACTGGTTGGTTAATTTACGTTACACAGCTGTGGCGCGACTACTCATCTGTGCATGCTAGAGAAGTAGTTCTGAATGATTTGTTTACACTGTTTTGTTTATTCAAACCGAAATACACAACCGAGGAGCGAGAGAAGACCGTCCCGCTAAAGAGCTAGCTTGGTTAGCCGGCTGGTCGCTCCCTAGCAGCATTTAATTTCATAAACTAATCACAATTTCAGTGTTCGCTTTCACATGGACTCAGTGTTTGGTATTATTCATGTTTCATCCAAATGCTTAATTTAAGCAAACAAGAGATGGGTCTTTATGCTAAGCTAACCGACAGCTGGCTGTTGCTTCATATTCAGCGTAAAAACATAAGCGTGGTGTCAATCTTCTCACCTAACTCTCAGCAAGAAAGCAAATAAAGCCCTATCCTCCTGTGACCTTAATCGAGTGCAAATATGCCGTAATTTGCAAAAAAAAATTATAATTTGAAAATTATAACTAAAAGTTTTGACGACATTTTGGGTGCAGATTTAGGAGGCTCATCTCACTAAACCGCATGGAAACCCATTCACAAGAGCACCGGCAAAGTTGAAGTTTTGTCTTTTATTTTCCATTACTGGTTATATTCTTATTCTTATTCCATCTATTATGAAAATCCCTTCCTACTTGTTTTTGCCCAACAATTTTCCATTTATTGTAGCGCACGTCGAGTTCAATTCCTTGAGTGAAAGACGCTATTTAACTCGAGATTGTCATTGTTGTTGTCAAAGAATTGAAGGGGCTCAGATGTGGCGCGTCAGCGGAGCCATTTGTCGACAGTTTTGCAGAGGCGAAGCCACGAGACGCTTCACCGCAGGAGAGGAGAGGGTTCCCGAGGAACACCTCATTAGTCTAAGCCTGGAAACGGGATCTTTGTACTTAGGTAATGCTCAGAGAAATTGGCAGCGGAAGGCAGAGAGAGACTACATAAGACACTGCTGAGATAATTGAGCAGAAAAGGTGAGTTTGACTAAAGCACTTTTCTGTGGCAGGGGCAGACTGGAGCAACCAGCAGGTGCAATCAGCCTTTAATAATCCCCATCCCGATGTTAATGTCTGCATCAGTATTCAACATACATCGGGGCAGTGGCGACAGGATATTTAAGTTTCATGACTGAGCCTGTGCGATCCCAGTTTGTTATGCTGCCGGCTGGATCAACACAAGAAAATTGCCTCTTTTTAACCACCAGGCTGTCTCGTTTATGCGTTCCAAGAAATGAAGCTAGATTACAGTCCTCCAATGTTTATCGTCAAGGTAAAGATGCACCTGCCTCAATCACAGAGCGCTGCCTCAAAAAGGTCAAACACATAAATAAAGTGGTCAAAATTGCCTGAATGAATGGATTCTGGTGTTTCAATATTTGCGGAAAATATGCTGAAGAAGAAGCGATGAAACATAACTCGATAAGAGTGAAACATTAAGCAAGAAGCTTGTCTAGAAAAAGCTGGACTAACTCTGTTCCCTTCAATATTTTTTGGTGTAAATGGAATGATTTGGGGACCCGACAATATCCAAAGTTGCCCTGTGTAGCCTTCAATAGAACAATTCTTAAAAACTGAGAAAGATGCCCTGAATGAGTGAAGATATAACCACATTAAACACAAAAGGAGCTGAAATCCATACCGATTCATTCCTGAGGTAATGAGTCCTCATTGCTCAACAGTATGTCTCCGTCAAAAATTTACCTTTTGGCACAATAAGATCTTAAAGACAGTATTTACAAGTACACGAGATTCATATTCCCAACGTAGTTTCTCACTAAAATGTCTCTCAGCCAGTGAACAAACCACCACGACAAAAACGAAGCTACACAAAGAGCACAGGCACTTGATGTTTTCTTCAGGATGCAACAAAGCGAATGCTGCCAATTAAACAGAAAAAGAAGAATGTCACCAAACTGGAAACGGCGTTTCGCCCGCCTCACATTCTGCAACCATGCACGCAAAATTTGAAGGAGACCTTTTCAAAAGGCCTCATGAACGAGGGCAGGGATGTTACTCAGCGCGTGACTCATAGCATATTCAGATGAAGAGTGAAAAACAGCAGAGTGAAGAAAAACAAAACGGATGGTGCACCCAGTGACCACTGCCCCGGCAGCCACCCGATGGCGACCAGCTCCGCCTGAGGCTCAGCAGGTGCCGGTGGTGCTGACGGTGGTGTAGCTGAACTTGGACATGGAGGTGGCCATCGACGTGCCCATGGAGGTGGCGGTGACGCCGTCTTCGGCCCCCTCCTTCCTCCTGCACCACCAGCGACAGAATCGGTTGCGGAAGCAGCAGGCGAAGGTGGACAGCAGGGCCTTGCGGAAGCGCATGTTCATGAAGCAGTAGATGATGGGGTTGACGCAGGCCGAGGTGTAGCACAGCAGGTGGATGAAGGAGATGGGCGCTCCCGTGAGGGCTTTGGAGGCTGACTTCAGGTCGAAGGCCTTCCAGGTGTTGGCCGAGTACAGGGGCATCCAGCAGATGAAGAAGAGCGCCACGATCACAATCAGCATGCGAATGACCCGCTTCTTGGCCTGCAGCTTGGCCTCCGAGGTGTTGCTGCGGGCACGCTCCTTCTTGGCCTGGGCGGCGGCAGACGAGGCAGAGAGGGTGGGGAGCTCCACGGCGGAGGAGGGCTTTTTGGACACCTGGATGTAGCAACCGTCGTCGTCGTCATTGGATCCTGCGACAGCCCGTCGTACACCGTTCTTCTGGCCTGCGGAGGGTCGGAAAGTTTACAGTTGGTGAGCTTTTGGTGAACTTAAACATGCTGTAAATGCCAAGCAATAAAGGATAAATGGCCAGTGTGAACAGGAGGTTTGATTACAAAATGCCAAGGATGGAAGTTCATGATTTTCTTTGGCATCCCGGAGGAATAAAACACTATGTTTAGCAATGGATTAACAGCTGCTACCGAAGGCTATTGCAGATCGTCTCAACCTTGATGAATCACACACTAGACTCCATGGAAACAGGAGCGTCTCATGCCCACAGTAACAGCAGCTACACTTCACCTAAAGGGACCACATTTCAGCTAAACCTGACAGATTATTCCTTTTCTATAGGAACTATACTGTAAGGCCTCGCTGCAATTCCAAACGAACGAAAAACAAGCAGAATGGGTATTCCGACAACTGAGAAGAAGTCTATTTCTGTATGTAACAGGTGCAGAACGTCTAGGTAGCAACCAAATATGTCATTCTCTGCTTGAGGCAAAACAAACAAATCTCCCTTTCGCAGTCGTGCTGCATTGTGTTTGCTTGAGAATGTTGGTTTGTTTCTATTATAAAGTGCAAACATTAAAACACTTAAAAATGCATTCAAACAAACGTCTGTAATTGGAATTTTCATTCTGTCATTACTTGCAGTTGTCGTGTTTGACCAGACTTCTGAGAAAATCCCGCTGTAGCCTCTTTCTAATGAATTCCACACACGGGTCTATAAAAAGTGCGATGGATATTTTCAAATAAATCGATATGAACAAAAAGTCTGCTGCAGTTTGGATTGAATTCACGATGGATCTCACCGGTGGTCTCTCTGTTGTGGCCCAGCTCAAACTGCATGCCTCGGAAGAGCTCTCTGGATATCAGACCGTAGGCTACAATCATCACCACTCCCGGGATGAAGAACAGAGTGAACAGCAGCAGCACATACCTGAAAAACAGCCAGAGTGGAAAGACAAGAACAAAACACAGAGAGGGAGAGGGAGTTGAATCAGCCCTCAAAACCAACCGAACACAACAGATTTTCTAGCTACAGGCAGACAAACTCGCTTGTGAATAGCGCAGGGTATTGTTTAAAAAAATAATGATACCAGTACCCTTAAAGTGATACAAATACCAATAGACCTATTAGATGTGGGTAAGAAAAGGATTGACTGCATGTATCATTTGACTGGAGAAGTTTCGATACCACTTGGTGCTGATCAGAACTGGCGAGTGTTTCTTCATTGAAAGAACGGCACCAAAGGCTTTTCTCGATGGAAAAGATGTCTTCGCTCTTCTCCCCAACTGGCTTACAGGCAAGACTTTGATTGACTGACTGATAGTTCATCCAATGCCAAGTATTTTCTGAAAGTGCTTGCCCTTTTCGTTTTGCCAATGTCAGCTTCCCACATGGTTCTGTGTATCAAACCATCTGGCGGGTCAAGTTACCGATGCCCAGACCTACTTGTGAACTCATGTGCTGGAGGCCCTGCAGATGGTTGACTCCTCCCAACGGCCCTCTCTCCACCCGTGGTGCCTGGCAAGCACTACTGCAGCATCCCGGGCCAGTTCTGCAGCTTCTCCCTGCACTTGCTCCACCTCCTTTTGGAATGTTTTTGTTTAACTGAGGGAAGGCTTTCAACACGACCTCGTCAAACTGCCCTGACATATTGACAGTGTACACAGTAGCTATATATACACATGGCTGTATGTAACGCACATAGATTTAAGTGAATGTAGTCGCTGTGATGTCGCTCATTAGTTTGTGGACATTTTGAAACCTTGGCCGTCATGTTTTTTTGAAGTGACATGAGAGGGCGGAGCTAAGTACAACTGAACTCTGAATGAGACATTTTTAGCTGACCAACATGTTGCAATTAACTTTCATCAACTGAAAACACGGTGAAAGGGTTAAAGTTCTTGGACTAAAACACCCAGATCGAACAATGTCTCGGTAGCGACCTGTCAATCACAAGGTAGCCCCGCCCTAAAGAATACCCTGCTTTATCAATCATTTTATTGGGACCATAATTTACGAAATGAACATCATTGAAGAAGACTTGAAACTAGAGATTGAGACCATAAACTCATGTTTACGATGTTTACCGAGGGAATAAATCAAGAGAGAATTAGAGTCATTTTCTCATAGACTTCTATACAACCAGACAACCTTCTGCTGTCCATTAGAAAGAATAAGTTTATGGCACTTCCGCACTGGCATCACTTTTCAGAACCTGATGACACAACAGACAGAAATGTTTTTTGTCAAAAGACATTTCTGAAATTACCTTTTGCCAAGTAAACTTTGTTAAATACTCTGTTGTATGACGATTGCGAGACACCGCACGCTGCTCCAGGCTGTGTACTCGGTCGTGTACTCGGCTGATGTCTGATCATAAATGTTCCGTTTTCCTGGCACAGAAGAATAATGATCATGGCTCTCTCTCTTTAGTGCCTGGATTGATGGCACCTCAAAGAAAAAGCAGTGAACTGAGTAAGTTGTAAAGAAACTGAATTTTTGAACTGAACTGTTGATAAATTCCCCATTTCCCTCAAACGGCTCCGTGCCGCTCTGCAAATTCTATACGAGACCTGCAACACTGGTGTGCTTTCTTTATATATGCAGTAAAATACGATGAGTGAGTTGAGGTTATTAAAGGACAAACTCTTTATCAGCGGATCAAATGGATAAAACCTTAACATGAGTTGGCCTAGAAAGGGTAACCCGTGAATAAATGAGATAAAGAAACTGCAGGTGTCACTTTGATCGTAATACATCTTTACCATCTGCAGACACATCTCCCTTTTGATTCGTCATAATCACAGAATAACCTTCTCAACCACGCGGCGCACATCAGTCAGCACATGAAAGTGACGGCACAGAGGAAGTCTCATTCATTCTCTGATATTCTAATGTCTTCCCAGGCAGCCCTCTGAACTCCGCACAGACCCTCTCATTTACCAGCTGGCTGATAGATACTGTGGAAAATCCATTGGGACAAAAGCTGTCAGGAAGTGAGCATGTAGGAGTGCGGGAACATAGAAAAAAAGAATCTGGTCGGTATCTGTGCTTGTTTTGCCTCAAGGGGGAAACCCAGATGGACGGCATGATGAATATTCATATGCGGCATCGTTCTTTTTACTGCTCCCACATCACCTGAAAGCTACATGATTAACAACCAGGAAAGGTGTTTGGTTCGTATTCATTACCTAGGAAAGCCATATGCACGTGTTACACATTTTTGCACTACAAACACGACTAAGAATGAACCATCCCGTAAAATGATTTAATTTTATTAATAGTTGTAATGATGTATTATAAGCTGCCTAAAGCTTGTGTTAGGAAGTTAAACGGGTCATAATTCCCTCTCCAATTTCTCTTTTATTTAGCTGTGAAAGGAAAACAATTTAGGAAAACATGGCTGTTTTAGAGCATCCTTATTTCTGTTTGTGTTTATTTCATTTCTTTATCTTAACTGTGCCCCCCCCACCCCCCTCCCCTCCACTCCACATCCACCACTGAAGCCACACCTTTTCATTTAGAACCATGCAGATAACCAGGTTTCTTTTTAATACAAAATGTTATCTGCTCATATTAAAAAGTTTTGGGGCTGATTTGCCTCGATGAATATGATTATTCATCCCTCCGGCGTACCTTTTTATTAAGACTAAATTGTCATTCACAACATGCATAATAATAATTACAAGAATCGAAAATCATTATTTATCTTTGACGTGACAGGATTGGTTCATTAACCACTTTATGCCTCTTGTCTTGATTTGCTCATCGTCTCAGACGAAAAATGGACGCTTCACTAACTCTAAGCACTGCTTCATTAGGTGCTGGAAAAGGTGATATCTCCTTTCAGCCCAAGTTTTAACCCCTCACCCCGCCCGGTGTACTTTAAAAGACGGTCCCGATGGGGCCGAAGACGAAGCTGAGAATTAAAATTTGAAAGGTCCGCGTACTTAGTGACACATCTGGACTCTTGACACCAGAGCCTGGACTTTCTTCCTCCTCACCAAGCAGACTAATTAACTGCCTCGTCTTTTCCCAGAGAACCTTTACAGTTTGATAGATGGACCGAGAAAAAGAGAGCGCTCGACCACAAAAGGCTGTCAAATAGGGAGATCTCCGTGTTCAGCTTCTCCTTCATTTTAATTGCGCCGTCCTGCAGGACTTTAAGTTGTTTACGGACAGATCTGTGGAAATCCTTGAGTAGCATATGGCGCTTTAACTTATCTTCTCCTCGGCAGCGTATCCATGTACTTGGGGTGCTTTTTAGCAACGAAGCAAAGAAGCATGTATTGGTCCTCAGAGGGCATGCAGATGGATGGAAGACTTTCCTAACGCCCACCAATCCAGACTCTATAGCATCAATAATAGTTTTTCCTTCTAGGAGCTTTATTCCTCTGTACTTTTCAGAGTACAGTCTCTCTTTTTGGTACCACCGCTGCTATGCCAGAAAATGAATCTATTACATACGGTCTCCAATTATGCCTCAACAGGAGCTGCCTGGTCAGCTTTGTCCATCTTAAAAAACTGTCTCTCCCTCCCCCTCTGATTTCATCCATTTATCAGACACCACCTTTCACAGCTTCAGCCCAGGGGTTCAAGTTTTAAACTACAAGAATTCAAGAGCCGTCTCTTCATCATTAGCCAGACTTTGTATCCGTCTCATATTTCTAACTGGGCAGGTATGTAGTCTCTGGAAGTCAGTACATCCATTTTTACAGCACCACAAAATCTATAAAGTCATCTGCTAAGTGTGTTAAAACTACAATATTGCAGAAAGCATTTTTGAAATGTACTGCGCTGAGAACAGTGGAGGCCCCGAAGGTCTGTGTATGAAATTTGAGCTAGATTACCAAAATGACCGACTCAGCATGCAATCAATTTTCTAACTGCGAGCAATCAGTGGAAAGGGTCTGATTGCACGGCTCAGAAAATGAAGCGACTTTCTGCTCAATAGTGCATATAGATTACACAATTACACCGCATGTAAATCAGAGTGTCTCCACACAATTGGAACCAAAGCCATACAGATTTTATTCAATTCACTAACTCACTCCATCTATTCATCTCCGTCACCCCTGTTATTAAGGCACGTCCACCAAATTACTGTCATGCATGTCTTTAAAAAGTTTTCACAAGTTTGGTGAGCTGGTGAACGACCCACCAGTACTTACCAGGTCTGCTCCGCTTCCCTGCTGGGCCAGGTCATGCGACACTTGTGGCCAACGGTGCCGTTGGCCTTTGGGTACGACGTGAGGAAGCTGAACACCGGGTAGGGCACCATGATCAGCAGCGACACCACCCAGGTGGCGGCGATGACGCGGTAGGCGTGGGATCGGGTCTGCCACGCGCGGGACTTCAGCGGGTTACAGATGGCGCTGTACCTCTCGATGGCGATGGCCACGAGGCTGAAGGTGGAGATGCTGACGGCGATCCCTGCAGGAGAGAAAAAGACCACAAGAACACTTTTTGAGAGTCTGGTCTGCTTGTCCGTTCGGCACTTTTGTCCCAGTCAAGATATCTCAGCTCTTGGGATGCATATTTGCTTTCTTGCGGAGAGTTGGACGAGTAGATCAATAGTACTTTCATGTCAATAAAGCTATCTTAGCATAAGGCTGGAAGAACTAAATCTCCACATACTGTCCGGTTCCCCCTCAAGTAAACACTTATCTTTGTCAGCAATTTTGCTGTTTGCTGCAAGTCACCATGTTGAGAGGCAATAGAAATGCCCCAAATCCTGTATGAAACCAGTACCCAGCATGCAACCTGAACTATTTGCTTTATAACAATTGTAATAGCTGATTAGCTGCTGAAACATGCACGCAGTTTAATTATTAATTATCATTATTATAACGAGCTGACCTATCAAGACACCCTTACAATACAAGAACCTCCCGGTTAATAAAGCCCCAACACCTCCACCACCATGGCAATCGGACTACAAAGGCTTTAAAGATATTTCTGTTTAAACATAACATCCATCTTTTCTCAATAGCACTAGCACCTTTGTGATTGTCTCGGTCAACGGTCTCTATTGGGTCCGACACGGGTTGAACTCCTCCTGAGGCAATCCAAGGGCAAGTTGTATTTGCATGCATGAATGTGCATAATCAGCAGAAGGTGAGCAAGATCAGTCGGTGCGTAGCCTGTTATCCAAGGGTGAGACTGGGTGAGGCAAAAAGCATTAATGCGTGTCACTGGCAGCGCCCCCCCCATCCCCAAGAAATATTTACCATGCTGATCCTCTTGTCGCTACGAGAAGCAACATTTTAATCCCCCGTCTGTTGTTGCTTTGCCACGGAAGAAAGTGTCCTGACAAAGCCGTAGTGTTGCATTATCATTCAAGGGAGGAAGTCGTTATGCAATCTACAGGAACCATATTACTGCAGGTATTTTAGTGATGGACTGCTCTCTGACTTAGGTGGGAACAATGTCTCCATTCCAGTATCAGCCTTTGGCGACGGTCTCTCCTGCCAACCACTGATAAAGTTCCTTTCTATTGTGATAAGCTTTGTTATCAGAAGCGAAAAGATTAGGGATTTAAGGTATATTGTCGGCCGCAAAATTTGAAACGTATTGAAGAAAGAGCTGTGGGGACGTCTGGTTGTGGGGGTTTGATGCGGAGTGTGATAGAGCGATGGGATAACGCCGTTCTCCTGCCTGCTGACAGAACAAAGGAGCTGACTGGTCGGGATACTCCAGAACAAAGAACATCATTATTACGGAAAGACGTCTGAATGCCTTTTATGCTCCGCCAGCAGTCGGAGAGAGACTGTGCATTATTTAAAGCATTTCGGCTCGTTGAGAGAGGGGTAATTTTTTGCGATTGCTGCTACACCGACATGAAACCTGACAGGATACTACATCAAACCAAAACCTCTGGGTTTATTGGCTCGCAGCGGGGGTTTTCAAACGATGACTCCTTCTCAAATTCTTAACAGACATGAAACACATATTTTTAGATTAGGGGGGCTAACACTTTCTGAAGTTATCTTTATTCCCTGATGGACATTCATGTGAAGATAAATTGCAGAGATAGGCCTGGCTTTGATGAGACCGTCTGTCCCATCCATCTTTGTGTTTCAGCACCCTGGACAGTGCCCCAAGGACACACACACACACACACACACACCCTCTACACACAAAAACCAGCGCATTCATCTGAGAATAACTCATAATAATGAATGTTATTTCATCATGTGTACGCTGGTATGAGATCGTTGCTCGGTATCGGAAGATCAGGTATCGGAGGCGGGAAGGAAAAAATGGTATTGGAACATCTCCAACTGTCCTGTTTATAAGTTATGTATTAATGTGCTCACAAAATCAGGGTGGCTCGTTAGCCGGCTCCACCTGCGATCATAGAACTAGAGTTCCAATTTCTATTTTTGTCAGAGAGCCTTCGCCGTGTATAGGCTCCTGGTGTGAGGCTTGATTGACAGGCGACCACTGTACACCGACTAGAAAACCAGCCAGCTCCGGGCTAAACAGAAGGAGGTGGGTGATACAGTCAACCGATATAGATCTTTACAGCGCACCGGCACTGTAAGAGTCTCGCACACCCACACATCTCTTTCAAGTGCGAAGCACAGACACAGACCAAATCACACACACAAGGGAGGGGGGGGGTTCTTTTGTTGATGCTTGAAGGCGGTCATGCCCAGCCGAAGCGCCGGCTTACATTGATTGCTAAAAACGTGGGACACGGCGAGGTAGGAATTTTCTCTCCGAAGGAACAATAAAAAATAACGAGTAGAAGATGAAAAAGGTGAATTATTTATACCGCACTTTTGTAAAGTGCTTTACAAAGCAAACAGACACACAGCAGGATTAAAAGACAGGGAATTATGGAGAGTAAAAAACAATTGGCGGTAAAATGCAGATCAAACTCGGAAAAAATATATATTCAAGGGCTTCGCAGAGAAAGTTCAAAAGGAATAGTTTGACATGTTTGGGAAATGTACTCGATTTCTTGCAGAGGGTTGGTCGAGGAGATCAATAGCACTTTCATGTCCGGTAAATGTAAGGTTTCTGTTAGCTTAGCTTAGCATAAAAGCTGCAAGCAGGGGGAAACAGCTAGCCTATGGCTCTGTCCAAATTAACTAAATCTTCCGAGGCAGCACCCTCGCAAAGCTCACTAACTAACACGCTGCATCCGTCCGACTGCACGAGGAGTCGGGCCGTATCGCCTCTTGTGAGTCCGACCACCGTAAGGTATCATTAGCTCATCGTTAGCAGAACACGCGTTCATAGGCAACGTTTCCGTGCGTGGAATACACGAGGATGAGCCCCGCCACAGGACTTCATAATGGGTTTTCAAACCCTACACTGATAAAGACTGATAGCTGGGAGGTTGTTCACATTCAAACTGAAAGGAAGTGCACTTCCAGGTGATGTACGGCGCCAACAACCCGGTAATTTGAATCAATGACGCAGCAGAAAGTACGCAGACCGCTCAAAGACTAGTGCCCTTCTTGTCTAACAATCTGTTTTCATTACTGGCAGGGAGGGGGCGGAGCAAACACTGATCTGAGATCATCATCATTGACGGAGCAATTTGTTCGGCCCCTGAAGAAGAGTTATGACACAGGAAACCTTCAGCCACTTTAGAACAGACTCTCATATTAATACTGTACTGCATTAAGGAGGCACAGCGAATATCATTTCACATCTGATGTTCCAACACCATGAAATAAAACAGTCGGCTCCTCAATATAAGTGTTGCTTCCATTAAATGCACACTTGGCAGTATGGAGAGGGCTAATGTTGGAGGATAGGAGATTCTGGACAAGGTGCAGCCAAGTTAATTACCAGCCAAGTAACCGACTAAACGCTGTCATTTCTCCTCCCTTTGCGGCGTATCTTCCCGTCTCGGAAGGAGGAAGCTCTAATCTTTTTTTCTTGTTCATTAAACAGTTTGATAACTGGCTTTTTGGCGGAATAAACTGTGAAGCTCGGATTGGAGAGGTCTGCCAGCCCACCTCCACCCTGCGGGGGGAAAGATTTACATTCCTTCAGCTGAAACTATGTTCACTGTTGGCTCACACCTATTTCTCTCTGGTGAAAGTTGCCCGAAAAGAATCCTGAAGGCAATTACAAATTAATGTTTAATAGATGCCAGATGCGCTCGCAGCCAGTTCTGTAAAAGTCTGCTGGAAGCAACGGAAAAAAAAAAAAACTCGACTACATTATGCAAGCAGCTTCTCAAGGGGGGGGGGGGGCAGACAGGGTGAGCTGGTAAGTACGTTAGTAATTGCATCATATGACCGGCAACGACAAACACAAACATGGACGCATAAATGTGATCGAAGACCGCACACAGATTATTACAACATCGATCTCATAGCTGCCACCGAAATAGTACGGGGGCCATGACTCACGCGCTCATCGAGCGCGGGGGCGGTTAGGAGGATGGATGGATGGAGGGTAGCGGGTGAACGGGAGGACGGATGGTGTATCGCATGTCTTAACGGCTGCACGCTAACAGATGAGTTTGCCGCGCAATCAATAGGTGAGGACGGTCACAATGAGCCTGCGTATTGATCGGTTCTGGCTGATAGAGGGCCGTGCTCATGGGAGGGTCAGTTTAGGGGGGTTTGGGCTTAAGATGGATGTGGGTGTTTACATGCACATGCTGATATTTGTAGATCAGTATTTCTATGATATTTACGTGGAGGAGCTGTGGTTTACGTGCAGATGCGTGGCATTTGGACTACTTATTTGACAGTGTGGAAATGTGGGAGAGATGTGCAACAAAGGTCCAAAGGCCGGAATCATTAGCGGTTTTATGGCATGCGCTAGAACCGCTCGGGTTGCGAGGCGCTCCGGACTACAAACGCGAGAAAGTGTTTTTAAGTTAGAAATGCTAATATTCAGATGCGGAAGAAGAAGAAAACAGTCGGCTTTGGGGAAACTCGTAAAAACGCTGACTGAAGAAATGATGGAATATAGAATAACAAGCAACACACAGAGGGACTTGCATCATTATTGAGACTGTTCCAGCTCGTATCAGCTCCAAAGGGGGGGGGG